CGCGTTTTAAAAACTGTGAAGAAAAACTCGAAAAGGAAAGCCCACTGCTAGTGGTGGACTTGGGCAGTTACAAATGGTATCAGAGCCAGACACCGGGCGGTGTGCCGGCGAGAACGCTCGGCTCCGAAGGGGGTGGACACCATGCGGTGTGTCAGCGAGGACGCTGAGCCCCGAAGGAGGGTGGACACCAGGCAGTGTGCCAACGAGAACGCTGGCCCCGAATGGGGGTGGTTTGTGAGATCCCACATCAGTTGGAGAGGGAAACGAGCTTTCTTTATCAAAGTGTGGAAACCTCTCCCTAGCAAACGCATTTTAAAAACTGTGAGAGGAAATCCATAAGAGAAAGCCCAAAGAACGACAATATCTGCTAACGGTGAACTTGGGCTATCACAAAAGGTCAGCAACAGATATGCATCTTAAAGTACTTGCTTTCACGACGCTCTAACGACTAGGCCAACTCACGGTGATTATCGTCACAAACCAGAAATTTTATAGAACAAGATGATAATGATAAACGTCATGTGACAAAGAATAGAGATGCAAATTCAAACAAATCCACGACTTTTCGAATCGACATTGACGTATGTTTACCTTATCGAGATTCTCCAACATTATACTCTTAACTTCCGAGACTTGAGCCTTCACTTTTATCAACTTTTCGATCTCTTCCGCGTGCTCGATGATATACTTCATGTGCTCTTTCATAATTGGCCTGCAAAATATCAGGAAGATTATGCCTCTCGATACTGCACCGAGGCAAATACACACGAATGCAACAGAAATAAAGCTTTTTCGTGTCGGAATTTACCCGAAATCCTTATTGAGACTTTTCGCAACAGCAGTATCAGCTTTACCACCTCCATATCTTTTCTTGAAGTCGGCTTTCATCCGTTCCAAAAAGGCTATGGATATCTGCTTACTGAGAGACTCTTTCGCCACAACACAGTAAGCTGCAAAAAGGTACCATGTAACAAAAATTTAAGACATTAAACAGACTAATTCTTGACATTTCTCATGCCTACGGACTCCGAAATATCGATCCCGAGATAAACACGCCTACTCGATTACTGATTTACTGTAAATAAGAATGAATAAACAATCATGTAATGCTACTAGACTGTAATAGTCTAAGCCCACCGCTAGCAGATATTATCCTTTTTAGGCTTTCCCTTTCAAACTTTCCGTCAAGGTTTTTAAAACGCGTATGCTAGGGAGAGGTTTTCACACCCTTATAAAGGATGTTTCGTTCTCCTCCCTAACCGATGTGAGATCTCACATTCCACCCCCTTCAAAGCCCAGCGTCCTCGCAGGCGCTATTTCCCTTCTTCAATCGATGTGGGACCTCATAATCCATTCCCTTCGGGGCCAGCGTCCTTCCTGGCACTGCCTCATGTACACCTTTCCACACCCATATAAAAGTTGTTTCGTTCTCCTCCTCAACCGATGTGGGATCTCACAATCCACCCCTCTTGGGGCTCAGCCTTCTTGCTGGCACATCACCCAGTGTCTAGCTCTGATACTAGGCTCTAACACTACTTGTGAACGGCCCAAGCCCACTGTTAACAAATATTGTCTTCTTTAGGCTTTCCCTTTCGTACTTCTGAAGGCTAGAGAGAGGTTTCCACACCCTTTATAAAGATGTTTCGTTCTCCTCCCCAACCGATGTGGGATCTCACGTATATTTAAAGCTTTTCTTAGCAAACATTAAATTTACAATAGATATTATGACATTCTACAAGCATTCCCACATTGAGCGGCTGGAATTAGCAAGCTCAGAGCCATTTGATTCCAGTTTTCAATTACTTCATTCTGAAAACTAAAATGAAATTTCAGTACATACGATGAACAAAATTGATCAGAGACTCAGTTCAAACAGCCTTTACCTAAGCTAAAATCCACAATCAATCTAATACACTTCCAAATCCGAACGAATTCGAAGAAATTAACAGCAAAAACAGGCAAAACAACAGAAACTCAACAATCATCAGACTAGATCCAACAATTTCCAGTTGAAAAATCAACTTCTAATTCAGTTCCTCCGATAAAGAACAGCACAAAAACACCTAAATCGAGAAGGAAATGAATCAAAACCAAGAGATAACTTAAGGCATGCTTACCATAACCATCTTCGACCAGGAAATTAAAGGTATGATGGTCGCAATTGTAAGTGAACTTATTATTGGCAGACGGAAGTTTCTGAAGGCACTGATTCGCAATCGCCGGAAAGTTTCCGGTGAACTCCGTGAACTCCGCCAAGATCATGGTTCCTCTAGCCACAAAGCTGTAAATGAACGAGTCTTGACTCATCTTCTTCGAGGCGAGTGAGCGAGTGAGTCAACTCGGACGAAGAGGAAACAGAGCACTCAGGAAGATCGCCGTTGGGGAACTGAACATTGCGCTTGCTATTAAATAAATAAAATAAAAAAAAATAAAAAAGGGCCTGTCCGATTTGTTTTATAATTTTTTTTATTTTCTCCAAATAAAGCAAAAATTCTTATTTATTTCCTCACTTTAATTATTATTAGTACAAAGATTTAGGGGAATGGTCAAATAATCAAAGATTTGGTCCTCAGTTTACGTAATAGCGTCGCATTAAAAAATAATAATTAATTCGTTCTATATACGGAATATTTGTGTTTTTGTGTATAAATGTATGGAGTTCGTTTATTTATTTATTTTTAATGGAGAAATTATTCCAAAAAAAATCATAAAAATTGTGGCATGTAATTTATTTTGAATTATTTCAAAATTGTATTTTTCTATAAGATAATTATATGTTCACAGTCTTATTAAATAAATTTTATATTTTTTTAGAGATATTTTGAAAGAAAAAAAACTAAAATTTAAGTAATATTATAGACAAAATAATAATAATAGTAATAATAAAACACAATTAAAGCATTAAATTTAAGAATTAAGGTGAATTTGATAGTTTTTTTTTTTTTTTAATTTCTAAAATTTAAATTTATTTTTCAAACCATCTCCCCTTAATCGAGGTTCGACTCCTTCTCTAGCATCCTCGAACTTTTGACTATCTTTCGAGGCTTACAACTTATTTGTTTAACATATGAGAATTCTATTGACATGTCTAAGTTAAGGGCATGACCGTGATGTCATGTTAGGAATCACGAACCTCAACAATGGTTGGTTATGTTCACTTTGAGCATAAGCTCTCGTGACTCTGTTTTGGGCTTCCCCAAGAGACTTGATTGGAGATATTTTAACCATTCTTATTTTTAAAAACTAATAAAAATTCAATAGTACTGCGGATAAATATATTTTTAAACTCTTTCAAAAGTCAAAGTTTAAAAAGTATTAGATGAACACGACTCTCCACAATAGTATGATATTGTACACTTTGAGCACAAGCTCTCATGGCTTTGCTTTGGGCTTCCCTAAAGATCTCATACTAATGGAGAGTATATTCTTAGATTATAAACTCATGATCATTCCCTAAATTAACCAATGTGGAACACTTTCATCTAACACCTCCCCTCGAACAAAGTACGCCTCCCCTTAATCGAGTCTCGACTCCTTTGGAGTCTTTGTCATTTTTGACTGCTTTCGTACCTTCGAGGAGGCTTGACTCCTTTTTTCTTTTTGGAGTCCTTTGTTCGACATTCGAGGATTTGTCAATCTATTGGTATGGTTAAATTTAGGGCATGACTCTGATACCATTAGACAAAAAGTATTTTTATTTATTAAACTTTTTTTAAACTAAAATATAATTTAATTAAAAGACAATATAACTCACAAGTTGTCTCTCTTTTCTCTCATGCATTGATTTCGAGTGAAACCAGGAAAAGAATTGTCTGTCAAACGAGATTTACTTCAGTCTCAATTCTTTTTTGTTTTTTACGGAAGGTTAATCTTGTATGTTACACAAGAAATTGAGAATTTTATTATCGTTCACCTCTTCCATTGATGTGAGATCTCACAATCTAATCATTTGAAAGCCTACCATCATGACTGACACAACATTTAATGTCTAACTTTAATACAATTTGTAACAGTCCATGCTCACGGCTAGTAAATATTATCTGCTTTGGTTTGTTAGCCGCACGATTTTAAAACATGTATGTCAGGAAAAACGCTTTTATAAGAACTGTTTTGTTTCTCTCTCTAATCAGTGTGAGATATACCATTGTTGTTAAAGATAGGTAAAAAAGTTGGTGCCAAGCGGAAAAACTGTCACTCAATTTATCTCTATGTCTCCCATATTTAAGAAAAGCTATCACTCAACGGTAGGGATAAAAAGTTGATATTTCCCAATCGCTCACGTCAACTGAAAGGGTTGGCACATTGAGGTGTAATTCAGCTTCTAATTCTTGGTTGATTGGGTCGTTCATGCCTCATCGTTTAAGAAGTAACCATAGAAACGACCAAAATCTAAGGAAAAATTTGAAGTACTTTATCGCTTCAACCAACACTCTCGGTGATCTTTATTTTTAAAAATTAAATATTATTTTGGTTTATGTTCCTAAATTTAATATTTATGCTTACCATGAATATTAAGTTTAGTCCTTAAAATTGGTTAATTATTAATAATATTTTTCATGCATAATATTTATTAATCACTAAAAAAATATTTTATGCTTTCATAAAAAAAAAAAAAAAAATCTAAATCAAATTATATTTTGAGTAACTTTAAAATTTTCAATTATAAGTTTAATTTGATTTAATCCTCATAATTTTAAATATTTTAATTTTACAAATTATTGTGTTAGTGACGATAAGTATATTTTATTTATTAGAGTTAATTTGTATAATTAATTTTTTAAAAAAAAATATCTAAATAAATATTACAGACAAAATTAAAAATTAAAAAATATTTGAGACTTGCCTCCACCTATCTGAATGCGGTTCTCCAACAGCCCGCCAAAATGCACATTACTTGAAATCCAATTTCCCGCTTCGATTCTCCACTTAAGCCTCGTTATAATCGACTATAAATAACGTCCCAAGTCGAATTCCGTAAGAAATTTTTAGCGTTTTGAACGGATGTTCTAGAATGGTTGAAGAAACGCTCTCGACTCGGCTTCCTTCTCTCTTTCTCCTCATACAGGTCTCTCTCTTTATTATCATCTCTTATTTGATTTGTAAATTCATGTTATGAATCCGCAACGTGTTTGCGTTTTCATCTTCTCTGTTTCCGTCGCTGTTGTTCGCTTCTTTAGGAGGAGATCGAGATTACGTTTGACTTGAAATGGCGTCGTTCTACTTCGAGATTTCCTTGAGTTTTCGATTCATCTGTGCACTTTGAAGTAAACGGAAAAACCAGAATACGTTTCATCGGAGATTCGAGTGAGTTGATTCTTAACAGACTTCAATTTTGTTAGGCATTGTTTGTGAATATGAAACTGATGAAGCTCGAGATCAGATCGCATGTTCACAATTATGAATGCAATGTTATCGGTTGCCAAACACTTAAACCTAAAGAACTTCACAACGATCTACGAATTATATTGAATCGGAATGAGTAGATTTGCAATTTTGGATGAACTAGTTGGTTAAATTTTAAAATACATCTGGCCTCTTCTTTTCTTCATTATTGCTTTGCGAACTTGCGTTCTAGGATATATTAGTATAACTAACAGTTTATTGTCGCTTGATCGAATCTTAATCCAAGTTGGCTATATTGAAAATTTTATTTGCATTGCAACAAGATGAAAACTCGAGAAAAATTCTTTAGTTTCTGAACATACCGGTATGAACTTTTTTCGGATTTCTAAAAACTCAATGTCATGATAATATGTCTCTCTTTATAGAACGGAATCAAGGTTCCAATCGGCTTAAGACGCCGGCACTCCATTTAGATTTTATTATAGCTTTATTGATTCTTCCATCTATCTGCTTGGCCGCTTACTAGACTGCAAGGATTTGATTCCGTTCTGCTAAACTGATGCCTCGTTAACAATTTTTACTGCCAAAATATTAGTCTCCATACGCGAATCCGGGTTGATATCTGGCATTTTTTCCCTTCTAATTTGCAGGAACTATCACGATTGCCCAACACAAAATTTTGGATCTCTTGATTCTTTGAGGTATGTTGAGTTTTGGTAAACCTTTAGCCTCTCTATTTGATCTTTTCAAATTCAATAGGTCTTAAAATTTTAAAAATCATTTAATATATTCTTAAACTTCTAATTACATATTCAATATGTTTTAAAATTTTACAAATTATCTGATATATTCGTAGGTTATTGAATTTTTAATTTTATGTTAATAGATTTTTTTATCTATTAATTTTTTTTAAAATTAATATACTTAGTGAATTAATTGAGAGATGATTAAACATTCTACAATCTTGAAAATCAAAAAGTTTTTAAGAATTTGATACGTAAATATTTATGAATTTGAACCAGCTTTTAAGGCCGTATTCAATATTATTTTGGTTTTTAGTTTTGATGAATTTGTTTGGTCTCTTTCTGGAATTTAATCATAAATTTATAAAATTAAAAAATAAATAATAAAGTAAATAGTTGTCAAAAGTGACCTTAATCTTTAAAAAAAAAAACAAAGAAGTGTAGAAGAAGGTAAAAAACAATAAAATTCAAAATATTCTTCAACGTCCATAAATTTATTCCGAGTTGAAATTTGTCATGCAATAGGGATTCATTGGGCTTTGAAGCTCTTACGGTTTTTATTTCATTGATTCTTTTTTTTTTTTTGTTCGACTAAAAAGGGATGCAGTGAATGATTGATTCCTTATTTTGCGTGCCATCTAGTCTCATTATTATTTTGTTTTAACCTTTTCAACTTTACAACTTTATCTCCATAAATATCTCAAAACCTTTTTCTAGCGATTTCTTTTTTTTTTTTTTTTTTTTTTTTTAATCAAGTTTAATATACTTGTTTCGTAGCTTTGTATATATCTATTGGTTGAGGATTGCTTGTCACCTACTCTTCAGCTTACACTCTCTCTCTCACGTAGAAAGAAAGGAAAGGGAGGAAGGAGGAGAAGTTTCATACTCTGTTTTCTCTTTGTGGGTTTCCCTTCCCCCTGTTTTGTCAGAAAAAGAAAAAAAAATATCTTTCTTTCTTTTNAATATTTTTATTTTATTATCTGTTTTCAAACACATTTTTTAATAAAACAAGTTAAAATTTTAAAACTAAAGAATAGTTTTAAATTTTTTTATTTTGTTTACTCTTCAAATATGTTTTTCTTAACGAGATAAGAAACTTATAAAATAATAATAATAATAATAATAAGTGTGTGGAAAATACAAAATTTTGAAAACGTGAAAGGAAAATGGTCATCAAATTATTTGTTTTTATTTTTGTTTTAAATATATTTAATCATTTATTTTATCTCATTCTCATATTTTAAATTTTAAAGCATGTTTAATTCAGTTGATTGGTTCACTTAAGATGTATTTGGAATTGATTTTGAAGACTTCTAAATCAATTATAAATGATTTTTAACCGTTTAACTATTAATTTAATTTAAGTATTTTTCCAATTGCATTTATTTGCAAAATCTAACTAAGAGTAGCTCTTCAAATTAGCTTTCCTAAAAATTATATCTAATTGTTTTTAAAATATGATAATTCTCTTCTTTTTGTTTTTTTTTTTTTCATTTAATTGGTAGCTTCTATTATCTTATTTTAATTTGAGTGAACTTATTTTTTTTGTACATTTTTATTAAATTGAAATAACACTTTTTTCAATATGATATTTTAATAATTTTTTTCTTATCAAAATATAAAATTGTGTAATTGTTAGTTTAATTGTCTTATAAAACTTTGAAATTAAATATGAACATAACATCATACATTATTGAAATACAATCTCTATTTTGTTATTGTTATAATTAAGTTGGAACAACTTAGTATTAATTTATTAAACACTTTAAAAATTAATTTTTCATCTTTAAACCTAAAATTTACCGAACATTATTTAATTTTATATTGCATTTTTTTTTTAAGTGCAATTAACATTATCTTCCAAACTATAATCATCTTAAAACTAATTTATTAATTTTTATTCTTTAAGTTGTGTTATTTCTATCATGCCTCAGATTTTAAATTTTTGTACCAATTAAGAATGACTCTTTTGACTCTTTTAGGATTAAAATTGTGTAAGAAGCTTATTTCTAAATTTTATTTTTAAAGATATTTGAATAATTATTCTTACTATGCTGTAAGAATGGGAAAATCATTTGTCAAACAAAAAAAAGTATCATCAATAAAACAGTCAGTGTCAGTAACTTCATTGCAATTTTCGAAGCTGAATCTTGTCTGTTTTTGCTATTCTAAACTAAGCCTACTCTTTTATGCTTCTTTTCAAAAAAAATAGATTTAAATATTATATTGTTCCATCTTCTCATTTTATTTAAGTATTTTTATTTGTAAATATTTAAATTCAATACTTATATCTTCAATAAATCTTATAGTTAGTTTGAAATTATTTTTATTTAGTTATATTGATAATAACTTTTATAAGTAAGAAAGTCCCAGTGTGAATGTGTCAAAGTTTAGATGGCTAATAGGGATTTTTTTTTTATTATTTATTTTTAAATAAACTTTGATAGTTCTTGGTTTAGAGATCGATTAAGTGGCCAACAAACAGCCTAACCCACAGTACTAAAAAAATTGGTCCGTTTAATGAGTTAAAGGTCGGTAGATTTAAATGAAGCATACCTCTAATAATATAATACTTAAGAATGTTGCATAGATTTTCTTGAATTTTTTTATTATATTGTTCTGGCTAAATTAATAAAAATAAAAAAAATAAAAATAAAAAACCACTAAATTTTATACATTTTCTAGAACATTTCTAGTTGATAGTGTTTTAAAAAATTCTTGAATTTAAAAATTTATTATCTTTAAAGAATTTAAAAAAAAAAAATTAAAAAAAAAATCGTCACTGGTATTATAGAAGTTTAAAAAAAGGTTTATTGGAATTAATGAAATGTTTGAAGCATGGTTAAGAATTTTTTTTAATTTAAGTGTATTTTTAAAACAAAATTTGAAATTACAAAGTTTTTGTTTTATTATTGAAACTTGGATAAAAATTTCATGTATATCACAACATAAATACGTCGTTACGATCAGATGAGTCCACCCACTGAATCAAACTATGATTTGTTTTTGTTTGTCTTACTGTAAAATTTGGATATATATGTTATATATGCATATATATAATTAAGGGAAAATTTGGAATTTGAGGAGTTAATTGAAGAAACATGAATAAACGAATTTATATAAAATGAAGCCGGATCCTTGTAAGCGCCAAATATAAAATTTATTCCTGAAATAACGTCTGATTAAAAGGAAAAACTATAATGAAAAGAGTGGAAAAAAAAAAACAAAATTACTATAACAAAAAGTGTGAACATGAATCTACTAACAAGTGATAAAAAAGGAGGTATCATCAAATGAACATTTCAACAAACACTAAAATTTTATAAAAGCGTTCATCAAAAGGTTAACAAAGGCATTCCCACAACATCCATAATTCGCAATTAACTAAAAACTCAAATGGAAATAAATTTAAAGTAGAAGAAAAATAGAATCTTCTAGTTTTGGCGAATTTCTACTTTCTTCTTCTGCCATAACCTGTCTATAGCACTGTCCGCATCTCCCTGTCAATTATAACCCATAATTACATTAATTTTGTTATAAACCCAAAACAATATGCCCACTCATTATCTAAACGTGCAAAAAAAAAAAAAATTATATTAAGATTTCAAGCATTTCCCTTATATCAAAGACGTTATAAACCCAAATTTCAAGTTTGAACTGAATATATTAAAATTGCATAAAACGCTATTTCTAATAAATTACAAAAACAAATACCAAAAATGGAAAAATCTATTTATATTAAAAGACACAAACAAAGGTAAGACAACTATTATACTTATACAAAAAGTTTAGTGCTTTTTTTCAATTAATCTAAAATGTACATACCAACTTCATTAAAATATAATTTTTAAAAATATACTTTATTACTTAAATGGAAATCTACGATATATATATGTATAATCTTCATACATTTTCGTATGAAAGATGACACAGAAGTAGTCAAATAAACAAAATACTTTGAGAAGTTTAAGAAACTAGAATGCCTAGGAACATTCAAATCCAACATTAAGTTCTCCTTCAAAATGATTTTGTATTTCATTAAAAACTAGAGTCCAAAATACTTGGTTCTTCATTTAAATGAATTCATATCTAATGAAAAACTGAGTCAATAATGCAGGTTTTTCCTTCTAATGTTTGGTTCAAGTTTCTATAATTTTTCAAAATAAGTACGCACATGCGGAACAAAGGTTTAATCAATGTGCTAATAAGATGTTCAAAACACGTCCAAAATTAAGTTGAATCAAATAGGAATACCAAATGAAGAATGTTTTAACTATCAAAACAAAGAAAACTAATAATACGCCTAGTACTAATAATCCTAATCTTTGAACGGAAACATAAAATCTTAGTAAGAAAAATAATACGAATTAAAGCAATTTAAGAAGGCTTGAAAAACATGCCAATTTATGTACCCTAAAAGATCAAATAGCTAATTAGATAGTAAAGAAGAGCGTAAAACTCCCTAAGAATGTAAATGATACACAGAAAAAAGTTCATTATAAGTTAGAAAATTATCGAAAAAATTAATGGAAGTGGAAAAAAGTACATGAAATCATTAACAAGTTTTTAGGTTAGTACATAAAATCAATGAAAATGAGGTTTGATTAAAATCTTAGGCAGAAAAATGCATCAAAATTATCAACATACAGAAAGCAATTTCAGGAAGAAAATGCTTTGATGTATGTGAAGCAGCCGCCAAATAACCAAAATTAAAGCACAAAAGAGCAAAAGATTGCACCAAAAACACATAATAAAAAAGCGTGCAGCCAAAAATATGAACAGAAAATATTTATGAAATCGAACCTGAGCACGGATGTAACCGCAGAGTGCGAAAGTGGAGAATTGGCCAGTGTAGATGCCATTCTCATCCAAGTGACCAACATTAATCTGAACCGAAGCGTGGTCCTTAGAGGTGATAAGTCGGTTCGTCGCAGAGCTGAAATCGATACCACAAAAAGAAAACTCTGAGAAGGTTAAAAACCGAAAAGCGAAGAATGTAAAATAACAAACGAATTGCGCTGATTACGCACCATTTCCTAGGAATGTAGAGCTCAGTGATCTTTCCTTCTTCGTTCTGCATATTGTCTTCGATGCTAAAAACCTACTTCAGTAGAGAAACAACGGATTAAGACAAAATTTGACTCCTAGTCCGTAATATGAATTTACAAACTCGGAACTAGGTAAAAACAAATAGAAGCACTTTCAGAATCTGATTTGCAACTTATCGCAGCGTTTTTAACACGGAGACAACAGATCGATAACTCGATCACACAATCAATGTAGATAACGAAGAAAAAAGCAAACAGAGTCTAATTGTTGTTTTCTGAAGCAATAAGAAGAACAAAAATGACAAAAAAAAAACTGAGAAAAATCAAATGCATTGAGAGAGAGTACCAGTCGGCCAACTGCTGCGGGAGGGGAGTTCGAAGGATGAAAACTAGGGTTAAGTGCGCGCAAAACCCTAGCTGGTTTATATACTTGCCGTTACTGGGCCTGGTTCTCGGCCCAATACTTAGTTTCTACGTTCTTTTGTATAGCCCATATCATAGTTGGGCCGTGAAGTAACAAAGGGATGAAGTAAACCGTTTATTTAAAATATGATAAATTACCCAAATAATATAAATTTATTTAAAATATGCTTAAAATGTTCATCTCATTACCTTTTTCGTTTTCTTTAATAATTGTGTAATTTTTTATTTTTTTTTTATTTTCTTATTGTGAAAAAATTAGTTTTATTAGTGAATAGAATTTGAGTTTGGTAGCATTTTGGTCTCTAAGTTTTAAAAATTTACGTTTTAATTTATAAATTTTGTTTAATAACATTTTCGTCGTTCCTCCTTACAATATCGAAATAATGATTTTTGTGTTTTACTATTAATTTATATAATTTTATAATTTTCCGCGTCATAATTAAAAATCATGATGAAAAAAATAAATACATTGTTAAAGTACTAAATGGAAGAATAAAATAAATAAATGTACATCTTAAAAGGTCGGAGGTCAAATAAACTTTAAAACAATAATTTTACCTGAAATTTATATTGAATGTTTTTTTATATAAAAATTTTATTTTCTAAAAGTTTTATTAATATTTTCTAACTTTTTTGAAAAATTAAAAAATACTTCAAAAATTGTGTAAAAACTTATAAAATAAATATTTATCGTTAGTGCTGCGTTTAAAAAATACTCATAAATTTTCTACAATAACATCAAAACGTTGGTATATAATCTATCATAAACAATTTTTATCCATATATTGTCAATAATAATTTTTTTTTAACGTTTATTTACAAAGATAAAGAAGGTTCATGCTACCTTGAAAATTTTTTAGATATTTTTTAAACATAGTACTCGAGTGGTAAGCATTTTTTTAATTTCTTTTTTAAGTCGAAGAATATTAATAAATTATTCACAATTTTCATCTAAAATTAACCATAAATATATTTTTTTAGATTTTTTAAAAATTTTTCAAGTAATTGGGAATGCAAGGCTTTATTAATTCCACACGTACGGCTGGCTATTGACGTCGCGGACCTTCTTAAATTACCACACGTGTTTGGTTTATGTTTCACAACTATATTTTTTTTCATTTATGACGACTGTGTCCTTTTTTTATTCATTTATTTTATTAATTTGGAAGTTTAATCTCATTTGTATTTATATAATCTCCACAAATTGGAAAAAAACTATAAAATAAAATATTTAAAATTTTAATTTTGTATTAGACTAGTATTAAAATTATTAAAGTTTCAATTTTTTAAAAAAATTAAATAATATATTAAATATAAAATTAAATTTATGGAATTTAAATTTAAATTTTACATATGTAATTTTAAAAATTAATAAAATGTTGATTTTCAACTAATTGAATATAAAATTTAAATTTCGATCATTTATAAAATATTTTTTAAACTTTACAAAGTAAGCAACTATTATATAGTTATTAAATTTATAAACTAATTATACATAAATCTAAAAACTGAATAATTATACACTTAATTTTAAAAAAACTTGTTTGATAAATTATTTTATTTTTTAAAATTAAAATTAATATAAATTTTTCTTTTTAAAAAAACCAAACTAGTTTTTTTTTTTTAAATAAAACAAAATAGAACCTTTTTAAATTTTATATTAGATTATATAAACTAATTGAAAAGAAATTAGGAGAGACAAAGTATAATTATAAGAAAAAAAACAGAAAATAAATTGTTGTTATTACATAATAAAAAATCACATAAAATAGACAGCGAATTATATTTCAACACGTGTCTAGCCACTCGTAAGTTGATTACCTCTCCCTATCATGATTTGCTGTCCCATTAACTGGCATTACCACCCATACAGATCACATCACGCCTTTCTTTTTCTTTTTCGGAAATTATTTTTTCTTTTCATTTCGTTTTAAAATCCCTCTTCAACTTTAATTATTATTATTATTATGATTATTAATTGTTTATCTATAACCATAGTATTTAAGGTCTGGCATCAGTATTCTTGAAATAAATAACCTTTTTTAATTAAATTTATAACTAAATTTTTTTAAACTTTAAAACTTTCAATAATAACTTAAACTTAAAAAACCATTATCATTAAAATAAAAATCATTAATATTTTATATCATAATTGCCATTAATTAATGTTGAAGAATAGCTTTTTTGAGTAAATTAAAAAAAAAATCATAGGTATTTTTTAAATATTTTAAACTATTTTTAAAGTTTAAGGGTATTTTAGGACTTTAAAAAAAAGTTAAAAAGGTATAAGTGATATTTTTTTAAAAATTTACCTATATATATTTTTTAAACAATATTAAAAATCAAAAAGAAAATTTTAAAATAAAGTACCAAAAACTAATATGTATTTTTTTAAATATCAATAATATCGTATATAAGTAGTTTTTATATCAAATATAAAATTTATGATTATTTTTATTAATTTAGCCATAAAATTATCTATAATTTATAAAAAAAAAACATGATGACGCAATAATATAAAATTTAAATTATAAATTAAAAAAAAAAAAGACGGCGTGTTCGTTCCCGACGTGCAATGTCAACTTGTATTTTGGTCAAATTTCTAAACAAAAAAAATTGACAACAGAATTTTGAAAATTTCACAATCAATGAGCTGTCGGCCAAACTCCTCTCTCTCTCTCTCTCTATATATATATTTTTTATATGATAATGTAAAGTCGTATCCAAATTTTTTTCTACAAACTAATATTTATAACCAAACAGAAAATATTGATTCATAAATATGAAAATTAAATACATGTTATTCAAATGGTTAGATATGCATAATTTTTAATTATTTATAAATTAATCATATTTAGCGTGCTTGGGTTATTACATTTAAAATTAGTTTCAAATTATATAGATATATTTTTTTTATTATAACTAGGAGTAAATTCAATAAATATAACGTAATAATTTTTCTTTGATTTAAAATAATTATTACATTTAAACAAACTTTATATAAATGCATATAAATTTATTATTTTAAAAAATTGAACTATTAATTTAGAAAGTTATTTGATAGAACTCATTACTAAATTAGTGTTTATTAATTCGAAGTTAATTTTTATTAAATTTGATGAAATATAAATTATAATTTTTATAGAATAAAATTTCAAAAAAAATTAATTTTTTTTTTTGTTTTATTTTCATTATTCATTTTTTGGGTATGATTTTAAGATAAAAGTAGTTACAAATCAAAGTTTAAATAATTAATTTAATTATAAGAGATTTGCTAACTTAATATAATTATGTTTTTAACTTAATATAATTAATTTAAATTATATATATATTGGCCTCGTATGTATTTATTTTATTTTTAGGTGTGGGTGGCAACAAATTAGAGGCCTAAAAGTCTTGTTATTAGTGGGTGCCAATAAATTTCTTCACATTCTTAAAAAAAAAAAAATAATAATAAATCAAATTGATAATCCAAGCGCGTGAAGGTCAAGTGGCAACCTTGTAATTAACAGGAAACCCAGTGGCATTTCTGTATAACCCTTGACCTTATATGGACGAACCACATTCACCCCGGTTCCTCTAGAAACCAACGGAACTTCTTGGTAATCATCCAAAATGGGTATCTCACGCGTTTCTGCTCTCATTGCTGCGTTCGCCGTTCTCGCCGCTCATTTTCTGATCTCATCGGCAACGGCCATCGATTTCTCCGGCGACAACGAGATTCTCTTTGCTCCGACTAAATCCGAGTGCCGAGGCTCAATCACCGAGTGCTTTCTCGCTGGAAACTATGACGATTCCGGCTTCGGAATGGAGTTCGAGATGGACTCTGAGATCAATCGCCGAATTCTAGCGACTACTCGCTACATCAGCTATGGTGCTCTGAGGAGGAACAACGTTCCTTGCTCCCGCCGCGGCGCTTCTTACTACAACTGTCGTCCAGGCGCTCAGGCGAATCCTTACACCCGTGGTTGTAGCGCCATTACTCGCTGCCGAAGTTAATTTCTCGCTTCGTTCTTTTTTGGATTTAGATTCCTCGCCGTATTCTATCGGTTAGTACTTCTTGTGTTTATACTAAATATACATGTCGATCGAGAAATAAAATCCATACTGATGATTGAAAATGTAATTTAAATCTGTTTCTCTGAGTCTTCTACATGTTTTCCTTTATTTTTTTGTTGTTTTCGTGACTGATTCTGGATATTTCCAGAAACATTTGTTCTTGCTTGCGATTGCCAATACAGTGATAGGAAGAAACACAGTATTCGTATAAATTGAGTTCTTCATTTTTTATATAATTTTCTATATGTTTTAGTTGGATGAATCGATGCAGATTTTTTATTTCACCTCTTATTTTTTCTAATCTGAACAGAATGTTCATACTTCCCAAAAATAATAATATTGATTTTAATTTTATACTCTTAAATGATACATTCCTTGGCCACAATTTTTTTTTCATATGAACATTTTTCAAATTCTAAATAACCTGTGAAGACTACATAGTTTTCATTTCTAGTTTAACTAAAATAAATTAAATATGAAAGAAAACTCCTTATGAACACAGTCTACAACCGAAAAAATGAGTTCAATCAATGATTTCCATCATACAAAATTATTAAAGTTTCTTTGAAATTACGGTAAGAACTTTAGAAAAAATGTTGGAGTGAAAAACAAGCTTATAAAAAATATTCATATTATTTAAAAAAAAATTAATAAGATTCATAAACGTTTTTCCAAAACTACTGTTAATTTTAGGCATCATTTTCATGATATTTTAGAAAAAAATATAATTTAGCTCTCTCTATATATATATACATTTTATTTTGAGAATGAATTATGAACAAAATCCAAGCATGTGAACGTTAGAGTAGAAGTAGCGATAATAACGAAAACTCCAACTAAGATTGATTAAGAGGCAGGCCAATTGAGTTAGCGTCACATGGCGGTCACTGAAAGGCATTTGCAATCGAATTCGATCCTTGTCTGTAATGATGGGATCTTAGCTTTTCTGTTGGCCGGTTATTGAGCGCCTTATACATTTCCCTGTCATTTTAGCATCCGTGAATCCCTCCCTTTCTTAAAGGTATGTTTGGGGTTGGACCACCACCACGTTGTGGGGCCCACTTCATGTTTTTTTTTTTTTTTTTTTTTTTTTTTTTTTTTTTTTTTTTTTTTTTTTT